AACGAGCCTTCGATGACCTCAAGGTCGCGGTGAGTCGGGAGCCTGTCTTAGCTTTACCTGACTTCACCAAACCCTTTGAGGTTCACACAGATGCCTCTGACTTTGCTATTGGGGGAGTACTGATGCAAGAGCGACACCCTATAGCGTTCGAAAATCGAAAGTTAAATGATACCGAGCGACGCTACACGGTGCAGGAGAAGGAGATGACAGCCATCATCCATTGCTTGAGGGTATGGCGACACTACTTGCTAGGAGCACATTTCAGCATTAAGACGGACAACGTGGCCACTAGCTATTTTCAAACCCAAAAGAAGCTTTCCCTAAAGCAAGCCCGATGGCAAGATTTTCTAGCAGAGTTCGACTACTCATTGGAGTACAAGCCGCGCAAAGCTAACGTTGTGGCAGACGCACTAAGCCGAAAGGTTGAACTTGCCGCCATCAGCAAAGCTGACGGGGACATGCTCATCCGAGAAGGGCTCGAATGGGACCCCGTATCTAAGGCTCTAATGGGCTTTGCCAGGGAAGGAAAACCCAACGCTTTTGGGTAGAGGACGGTCTACTCTACACAAAAGTGCGACGATTGTTAGTACCAAGGTGGGACAGTCTAAGGCGAGATCTCATGAAAGAGTGCCATGACACCAAGTGGGCAGGTCACTCGGGTCAAAGGAGGACAGTGGCACTGCTCGAGACCAACTATTTTTGGCCCCAACTAAAGGACGATGTGGAGACATATGTCAAGACTTGTCTTGTTTGCCAACAAGATAAGATCGAGAACAAGCACCCGGCAGGACTCTTAGAGCCACTACCGATACCCGCTGGACCATGGGATTCCATCACATTAGACTTTATTAGCTCTTTGCCACAGTCCGAGGGGTACGGATCGATCATGGTCGTCATAGACCGATTTTTAAAGTACGGGACATTCATTCCATGCACCAAAGATATTACTGCCGAGGAGGCCGCCCACGGATTTTTCAAGAACGTGGTCAAGTATTGGGGGCTACCCAAGAGCATAATCAGTGACCGAGATCCGAGGTTCACAGGGCGACTTTGGACTGAACTTTTCAAACTCCTAGGGACTGAGCTCAACTTCTCAACGAGTTTTCACCCCCAAACCGACAGGCAAACGGAGAGAGTCAATGCACTTCTCGAATGCTATTTGAGGCACTTCGTAAGTGCAAATCAACGGGACTGGGCCAAACTACTCAATGTGGCCCAATTTTCATATAACTTGCAGAAGAGTGAATCGACCGGGCGAAGCCCATTTGAAGTGGTCATGGGGCGGCAACCGCTAACACCGCATACAATCTCCTTACCTACCAAGGAAGGGAAGAGCCCCGGTGCCGAAAAGATGGCCAAAACTTGGGAGTAACAAGCTGACTTAGCATGCTCATACTTAGAAAGGGCCCACAGAAGAATGAAGAAATGGGCCGATAAAAAGAGAAGGCCAAGAGAGTTCTCCCAAGGAGACTTAGTCCTTGTGAAGCTGTTGCCGCAACAATTCAAAACCTTTCGAAGCTTACACAAGGGACTGATACGAAAGTACGAGGGGCCGTACCCGGTGAGCAAGAAGATAGGCAACGTAGCATGTCGGGTCAACTTACCTCCATCCCTTAAAATCCATCCTGTCTTCCACGTGAGCATGTTAAAGCCGTATAAAGGGGACGTGGAAGACCCAAGCCGAGGGTTATCATCAAGAGCACCGCCGATCACCACCAAGTCATTCGACAAGGAAGTAGAAGCGGTGCTCACATCCGACATAGTCCGGCGACGAGGGGTACCACCGAAGACACGATACTTAATCAAGTGGAAGGACCTCCCCGAGTCAGAAGCATCATGTGAATTCGAGGAGGACCTATTGCAATTCCAAGATACCCTCGAGCAGTACAAGGTGACGAGGACGTCGCCACAACAGGTGGGGGAGAATGTAACGCCCCGCACCACTTGACCCGCGCTGACTCAGGCCATCCAGCGCGCACGCCAGCACAGAGCGCGCATGCACGGCACGGAGGACGCGCGCGCGCACACAGCACGCACAGGACTGTCCGACCTTTTGATGCCTTAGGCTGCACCACACCTAAGTCTTGTACATAGTTAACCTTTGTAGAGGTTTAGTATTCTCTAGGAACTTCTAGAAGGCCCTAGAGTTGTATAGTAATTTGTAGTAGGGACTTGAAGGGACTAGAGTTATGTAGAAGGTTCTAGGACGTGTGTAGAGGTAGGAGTCTTGTAGAAGGACCTAGAAAGCCCAAGACTCATGTAGGGCCTAGAATCTTCCTTAGAGGAGGTGGTGCCTATAAATAGGAGAGGCCCCCCTCATTTGCAAACCATCCAAGCATCACTCAAGCTCTTATGTACTACGTTTGTGTGAATAGTGTACAAGCATTTCCCTTCAACACTCTTTCTCACATTCTCTAGCATTAGCACTCGCACACACCGAGCACGGTCCAGGCAGGGTAAGGCTGACTAAGCTAGTTTGCGAAGGGCGCAACGAGGGGCTTAGGCAGCACGCATCTATCAAGTAAATAAGGGCATGACATAAGGCATGCTTAGGGTATGCTAAGCATGTTTGATACTAAGCTAAATATGATTACTCTTAAACATGATTAACTTTAAAATAATCTTCATTAATGTTAATTAATCATCATTAACATTAAGCTAATCATGATTATCTTTAAGTTAATCATGATTAATTAGTTAAACATGGATTAAATTAATTAAGCAAGGCTAATGACCAATACCTAATTAATGATAGACGGTGTACCAAATGTGAACGCGTCGCTGTATAGGAATGACGACATTCATATATGGTACTCTTAACCGAATGTACTCATTTTCGGTTATAACTTGACCTCGGAACTTAATTCGAATATTATCTTGATATAATCTCATCAATCCCAATGAATTGGAATTAAATGCAAAAACTCATTCGGTTACTAAAATAATTAAACCGAACATTAAGTTGACTAAAAGTCGAACTTAACCTGGAACTCAATAACTCCGAAACTTATCTTTGACGATTTATCGAATATTCTCAAATTCGATTAATACGTCAATACTGGAATAATTAATCCCGACTCACTGATGTCTATTTATTAAAATAAACAGACTGAGATTACTTATTATTATTGACTCGGTTAATAAGTAAAATCAACCAGATATACTTTCGACTTAACATCGAACTTAGAACTTAACTAGCTGGAAAACTTAAACTTGAATGATAACATGAATTTTTATTAACAAAGGCTAGCTTACATGTAAGAGCTAGTATTTTCCTTTATTAATAAAACTTGGGGCGTTATAATCCACCCTCCTTAAAATATTTCCATCCTCGGAAATAATAAAAAATGAAAGGTACAAGCTTAACATGAAGCTTATACTTACCACTGACATGACTTGAGAATTCAGTATCGAATACTGAACATTAGACTTGATCTTAACTGAGAAATCAACAATTCACAATTAAGTGAGTTGATGATTAACAATGACTGAAACGGGACACTTTTATAAGATAAAGTGTTCCATTTATTATACTTAACATTATAAACATGACTCATAAGCGTACTGGTCTTCATTTCAATGTTGATTGTTGGTCTTCGGTTTGAACGTCGGTTGAGGTAACTCCCAGTTATTGGTACTCCTGGAAAATTTCAGAGATACGCACATGTACCAATGAGGGTAACTAGCAATCCTGGCAATTACCTTTCTTGAATGTCAACTCGACACGCGGCACGTCATTCGCGGCACATTGCAATGCGGCATACCTGCTACTCATCAAGTGAGTGCGGTACACCTGCATACAGCACCTGGCGAACATTGTACATGCGACGTCGATGTAGTCTGTATGGCTGACATATCTGTATCTCGGCTAATAACCTCAATGTACTATAATGCTAACTCTCTGTGACCTCCCAGTGTACTGTGACTCAAGCATGGCATCCGTCTCCACGGCATTGATTGTTGCTGTTGATTAATCTTCTCCGTCGTGCCGTATGTCGACATATTGTACCTGCAATTGTCTACCTTCCTTGAGGTCAAACATAACCTCAAGAAAAGTTTATCATAAACTGATCTTTCCTACGAGTTCTCAAATTATCTGCATTTGAGAATCGAGGCACTGGACATATTTGAAATCACTGATAAGTCTTGTCTTATTAGACAGACTATCCTTGACTTAACATGACTAGCCTGAGCATTCACATAACTGAATATCCAGGACTTGTCTTTTACATGACTGAATCGTTCTCACTTGAACTCTGAAAGCTATTCAGAAACAATTAACATAGTCATCTCGGAATTTGGAACATGACATTTACTGACTTTCTTGACTTAATAAGGTACGACTTCAAGTTTCCAGGTAAAATTGGACTAATAGTCTGTATTACAGACCTCCATATTTAACCCGGCTGAACAATTATTATACGGCGACCTTAAATCATGAACATTAACTTTATATCGTGATCATTGACTCATAACTTTGTACTATATAGGGCTGCTCCAGTATCAACTTGTCCCGCAAGTACCGAATAAATAACTGATCTTGAACTTTGCCAACTAAACTCAGAGTATCTAACTGATAATATACCCGACTTACTGACCCTAAAGGTTGTTACTTTCTGAAACTGTACTGCTCCAGTCTCAGCTTCAAGCCTCTATGGTATACCCGGCTTAATGGCTCTTATTTCTAGCCTCCATAGTAACCCGGACTTATTGACTCTTATACACTGGAAACTGTTACCTTGACAATGACTTGCAAATTTTTACAACCTTTAGACTGAAAAATCTCGCCCTGAGCTTAAGTTACTGACTTAACTCAGGAATATTGAGCTTATTTCCTGGTCTAATTCAAGGAATTCTTCCTTGGAATGTGCCAACTGGTTGGCAAAATGGGCAAATTTTCAATAGAAAATGTCTGAGGAACTAAATTGCTAAGATTTGTAAAACATAATTGTTTACAAATCACTGAACGAGGCATTAACTCAACCTGAATAAATCTAGAATGGAATCTAGAGTTCTCAAACTTAGCCCCTTTTTAGAGTTTTGAATTATGACCCGGATATCCTTACTAATGACTTTATTAAAGCTGATCAATAAAGTACACAAATTCTTAACGAATTGCCAAACATGACCAGGGAATTCTGACATAATTTCCGAGTATACTGACTACTGATCATGAACATAATTCGAGCATCTTAACAATATCGTAACTGAGAAATTTCTGAGCATAGAAATAGTAAATTGTTTATAATTTAAAACTTAATCAGCACTTACCTAGTAGTCGGCGAGGCGTGAGCATGACGTATTCCAATTTTTCTTAAAACTTTCTGACTCGTGAATACTTTCAAAGACGCAAAAACGTGCTCTGATACCATTTGTAACACCCCACTAGCTTATTAAAATCAGAGTGCGCTTTTCGCAATTACATTCAAAATAAAAACATTTTACATTGCGAAATACTGATTCGGAGTGCTACTAAAATACATAGCTGACTGAAAAATCTCGACTTTTGGTTTTTGAAAAACCAAATAACAGTTTGCCAACTGATTCATTTGACTAAGAATGACGAACAGTAAAACATCAGCGGAAACTGTAGTGGTGAAATTGGATAGTAGTACCGTGATCGTGAAAACAAGTTATCCTAAAATAATAACGGCACCGCTATGCCAAATTCATACTGTACAAAACATAATTTAAGCTTTATAAGCATAAAGCTTAGGTAAGTTAAGCTTTATAAGCATAGTCCCGAATAGCTCCGTCATCTCACTCCTCCGTCCCGACTTCATGACCTGAAAAACATGATAATAGTGGGAGCGTGTGTAACACCCCATTAGCTTATTAAAACCAGAGTGCAATTTTCGCAAATTTTCTATTATAAAATACCATTTAGTTTTGCGAAAAGACTAATTTGGGGATGCTACGGAAATACATTCCTTCTGAAAAAATCCGTTTAATGTGGTTAACTTGACTTAATTTAGAAAAACGGACTATCTTTTACAAACACATTGTACTGTATAATCTGACCAGAAAGTTCAGATCAAAATTCAAAACTTGGCATGCCAGATTAAAGAGTCTAAAACATCAGCGGAAGTCAAAACGGTAAATAATATACATATCATAAGTCTGCAAAATCATATATACTAGACCGACAACCACTTGCTCCGCTTACTCCTCTGGACCGACCCTATCACCTGAAAAACATCATAAAGTGGGAGCGTGAGCACTAAAGCCATTGTGCTCCGCAGAAACTCATACTAAAGTAAACATTAACAATAATATCATGGCTGCAGGTATGTATAAGTAAAGTGTAATCTCCAGACTCAAGGTTTGTAACTAAACTGTCTCAGACACTATGTCCGCTATGTGCACACTCTGATGGATACTTAAGGCCTCGCGCCTCCACCAGAACTTTGGATGGGTACTTATGGCCTTGCGCCCCCACCCAAAGTGGATAATCTCATATACATACCTTTAAACGTGGCTGAGTAATTAATATCAATGTAATACTTATTCTGAGTTCCCACCTGAACTGCTAAACTGTAAATGCTGCTGCTGATCAATCTGTAAAAATATATATAAATAAATAAATACTAAGTACTATGCTCAGATTGACTGAAAATAGCTGTTAAGATGCTCAACTCGATCTAAACATTTAACGGACTTCATCTCGGGAATTAACTTAACTGACAAGAAAACCGGACTGAACTGATGCCGGTAACTGAACTAACTGGATTGAAACAAATTAACTAAAATACTGTACTTAACTCAGACCGGATCAGTAATTACTGAACAGCTCAAAAGCCGGTCTAAACCAGCCGGTTCATTTTTTGGTCGGACCGCCGGCTCACTATGGCCGGGCGGTCGGCTGCTGGCTGACCACCGGCTCGGTCACTCGCGCACGCTAGGCACAGACTAGGTGCGGCCGGCGCTGCTGGCGCTGGCTGGCACTGC